ACAGTCCTTACATATGTATATAACTGAATGTTGGCAAGTGACATTCGTGCAGTAAACTTAACAGAAAGTCAGCTACATATGATCCCATTTGCTATCTAATAAATGGTAAGTTAGTTGAAAAGACAGCGCCGGAACAAGTGGCATCCCGCAGGCGTAATCATTTATCATTGACAGTTGGGTAAGCACAACTCCAGCGGCTTTTATGCACATTTGTATGAACGTATAAAAAATCGTACTAAATAAGAAGTTGGAGCCATTTTTGGAAGTGCTCCCCTATCGAGTTCAACCTCTGCTCGGCCAAAAAGAAAAAAAGAAAGATTTTTGTAAAATAAACGCCGGCACGCAGCATCCATTTGTATGAGTAATGACACCCAATAAATTCGCTAGTTGGCATGCGGCGTTTTGAGTGTTGAGTAATAAATTTAGATAGTTACCACGTATGGAAATAAACTGGCTCTGGATCTTATACAAAAAAGAATAAATTTATTATCTTTTCTTAGCAGAACTTTGTTGTCTGTTTAAATAGTAACTGAATGTCAAATTAACAAAATTTTCAAAAGAAAGCAGTACATTGTATATTGTATTGTGTATAAAATTCAGAAAACCTTTATTGCTTTCAAGAACCCTTAGACTCCTTTTTTAAATGGTTTAAAAGTAGCCCGCACAAGTACGGAAAAATCTAATTTTTAGCCTTGCAATTTGTTTGAGTTTTTTGTGTTTCCCTGTAGTTATTATTTACCTCGTCGCAGGTTAGTAATGCGCGCAGGGTCTTTTGAGTATTTGCGCGTAATATCTATTCTGTGAGAAGAAAGAGAAGGTGAACCAGAAATTTGGCTCAATTGCCTTTTTGTATGAATCAATTTATAATCTGAATTGGGATTTCCTGAATCACATGCTGTGCTTATGATGTCACGTACGCGCCGCTGAGAAAGTGATGGAAAGTGAACAAAAAGCAGTTGCCGAGAATTGCTAAGGAAATCGCATACCTAAGCGCTGCACAGTGCGAGGTCTCCATATAAGCTGCAGCCAAAAGCAGTTGAACTATAGCAGAGTTACCACCTGTTTAAAAAAGCACATAAGGTAAGGTAAGTAATATGTATCACCATATGGGTGCCAAAGAAAAGAGGTTTCAGAAAGTAATAGTTTGCAAATATTTTGAAAAGGGTTGCCACCTGCTGCAAATGTCGCATTTAGTTATATAAAAGTTATATGAAATGTCAAAATATGGATGTCAAACGAAAGAGTGTTAAGAAATCTTTTTTTATTTGAACACTAAGAAACTTTTTGAGGTGCTGGGGGAGGGTTACGACCTGCTTCAAAGTTTGAATTAAAATTATTTAATAAGTTTAATGAATTATTAAAATATGGGTATCAATCGAAGGGGGGTTTGAAAGATCTTCATTTCTCAACTATATTTAGCGGGGTTGCCACATGCTTAAAAAATCGAATTCAATTTAATTCATCAGTTAATTAAAGTATCTATCGCAATGCCAGACGAAGAAGAGTTTATAAGGGTTTAGCTCGAAAATTCTTTTGAAGAGGGCTGCCACCTGTTTGAAAGGTCTAATTTAAATAACTAATACAAAAATTATATGAAGCATAAAAATACGGGAGTATGCAAAGGAACGAAAAAATTTAAAGAAATTTTAGTTTGATCATTTGGATTGTTGGAAGAGGGTTGCCATCTGTTTAAAAAATTATATTCAAATTATTTAATAAGTAGCATGAATTATCAAAGTCCTTAGATATATGCGTACAAGTAGAAAAATTAAAAAAATTATTTTTTCTTGCAAATTAATTTTTTTGCATTGTATCTACTTTAAGCTCGTCCCATCACAAAAAAATATACATTTTTATCAAAAATTCTTTTCGGTTTGGATTAGTTGGACATTTTGCTATAAATCTGTGTAATTGCTTTTTCAGAATTCGCTAATCCGTTTGTACTACTTTTGGCCGCTTTAGTCACATTGTGCGCTGTCGCCTAGTAATTGTGCATCGTCACCGCTATGTTTTAATATATGTATGTGCTAAAAACGATGTGAGGTCTTGTAAATCAATAAAAGGTAGCATAGCCAATCAAAAAGTGGTGTTTAAATTCTTTGTTATTTACGATCTTTTATATTTATTTATGTACATTAGAATGCATCACTGCCCATAAAAAAAAAAATCGGTAGATACTGTGTTTCCATTGCAATTATAAAATCTATTTTATTTTAAGACTTCCAACAAAATATTTCGGAAAAAATATTAAGATTTACGTGAGCTGGACCAATTTGAAAATGCTTCCAAAAATGGAGTTTTTCATGAATAAAAATATTTTCTTTAAGTTTTTTTTTTTGGAAAAATTCCCTCAAATGGCAAAATCGTTTAGGCTTAAAAAATTCGCATAAAAATATAAAAAAAAAAATGTTAAAAATTTTGTACGGAATCGTAATAAAGGGATTTTTGATGCTGTTTTTTTAACTTTTTTCAGAGATTGGCATAAACAAAACTTGAATAACTTAACTTAAACTATGCCTATTTAGACTTGTGTGGTATCAGTAGAAAGGCCTTTTCCCACTCTTGTTGAAAGATTTTTAAATATTTTTATGCAGGTTTTTAAAGCGTAATCTGTGTTTTCATCTGTGGGGATTTTTTTCCAAAATTTCTTTAAGAAACTTTTTTCTATTCATAAAAAACTCACATGTTGGAGGTATTTTTAGATCGGTCCACTTCACGTAAATCTTAATATTTTTCCGAAATATTTTGGTGGACGTCTTCAAATATAATATATTTTGTAATCCCGGCGCAAAAAGTGCAACATTTTTCAGTCTAATGTACATATGTAAAAAAAAATTTGTGGTTGCTTTGACAACACGATTTTCTCAAACTCGACAGATTTATAGTTCTCTTCTGCTAGTTTTATTATCACAATTTCTACCATATTTGAATGCTCAACATCGTGGTGACATGTCACCCTCCTTAGATTGTATTCACACCACCAAATCTAGAATTTATTGTAAAATTCCGAGAAAAATTTCAAAAGTGCTATTTAAGTTGCCAACAGCTCGATGTATTCTATGGGTAGCTTGTCTTGAAATAATGATTAAACGCATTATTTTCATGCCGAAAAATTCAAAGAAATATTTTTTGCCATTCGCCATTCACTTTTCTATGAGGCTTCAACTGTACGTATGTATGTATGTATGTAGGTGTACGTTGATGGCTGCCTGTACTGCTGATGTTGGTGTCCTTATGCCCTTAGTGACATCAATGATTTATTTGTGTGGCCGCTTTTTTTACATAATAGCAACAATTACAACAACAATCGAACCAATATCATAAATTAAAGTCAATACGCGTTTTTCCTGTTGGTTGATTTGATTTGGCGCCATCTTCTTTTTTTCTTTTTTTTTCCACTGTTTCTCATGGTATGTATATAAGTATGTAAGTATTTTGATTTGGTAATAAATTTAGAATTGCTCTTAAATGGGCACCTACACAAACGTACATACAAACTTGTACATAGCACTGACAGCCGCGCGCGCATAAATATTTATTGATTGCTTTGAGTTGACTTTTCTGTGTTCCTCTAGAAATCGATGCCCGATTTGTTATAAATGAACATATTAAAGCGTTCAAGTAGCAGGGTACTTAAAGCTAATAGGTAATTTGAAAAAAATAAGAGATTTACACGAATGGTACTTAGGCAAATTTGTTGAGAGTATAAGTGGTCGCTTAAACTGTTGCTGAGTAAATTTTATTGGCGTCTGGAACGTTGTAATTTATCTCTTAATTTGTTTGTGTCCTATGTATGTATGTATGTATAAGCACCTTTTGATGCCTATTTTGCGAAAAGATTTCCTAAAACCATACGAGATAGCGTGGCACCTCCCATAAAACGGAACTTACGGAACGGAAATATTTTTGATAGAGTACAGAAACTTGGTATAGATACATATATGTATGTATATATAAAATCAATTCCATACTCATGTAGGAAGGCTGCCACATTTTAGAAAAAATCAAATTCGGTGACAAGAGGTTTAAAAAAGTTGTAGTTTGAAAGTATTTTGGAAACAGTTGCCACCCGTTCGAAAAGTCAAATTAAAACTAATTATAAGCAAGCTATCTGCCAAGTTTAAATTCATTTAATCTCATATGGGTATCAGCGGAAAGGTTCTTGATAAGAATTTTAGTTCTAAACTACATGTAGGAGCGTTGCCACTTGTTTGAAAAATCAAATTCTTCTTGAATTAAAGGAATTTGATAATTGGGATTTAATAGGGTAAGAGGAATTTAATAGGGTTTTCGCAAAACGTTTTGTTAAAAAAAACGCCTAAAATTAACGATAAAAACAAAATAAAAGTGTTGTGTTGTAATCGTAAAATGTTTTTTACAGTGTGAAGAGTGAAAGCAAAATCGCACATTATACGAAAGAAGCGCAGATTTTACGAAAGTAATTTCGTTAAAAATACGAATTATTCCTATGCATTTTTCAAAAATTTCGTAAAAAAATAAAGAAATAGTACGATTTTTTTTTCAGTGAATAGTACGATACTCGTTAGTAAATAGTACGAATATATTCGTAAAATGTACTAAAAATTCTGATGCCTCAAATTTTCGCAGTATGTACGAAAACGGTTTTGTACAATCAACGAAAACTTTCGTGGCTCANCGCCTCAAATTTTCGCAGTATATACGAAAACAGTTTTGTACAATCAACGAAAACTTTCGTGGCTCAAAATGACGAAAAATTTCGTAAGATTTACGCAAGTTTTCGTTATATTTACGCAGATTTTATTTGCAGTGTGTTACATTCTTATAAATGAGTTTTATGTTATATAAATTTCATTGGTCAAAAAGTTGATACATAATTTACATTTCATTTTATTGAAACAACAAAAATGGCACTTACTTGAAATCTTACGTGCATGTAGTAAATAATATCCTAGGAAACTTATGTTTTTTTTTTTCTATTTTGGTTTTAATATAGTATGTAAGTATGTAAGTCTACTCACCACCCACTGTCATATTGGCTGTTTTATCGATCAATTTAAATTCGGGCGCATCACCGGATACCTCGCAACGATATGAACCGGACGAATGGACATTGAGTTTCTCCAGTTCGACATTGCAGATGAATTGATTGCAGTGCGATGAGCCATCAGCGATGGTGACACCTTTGACGGGAAACCAATTTGTAGTCGGCGGAGTCAACGGTGAGTATCTGTAGTAAGTGAAGAAAAACGAATGTCAGGAAATTCGTAGACAATTTGAAGGGAGAAGAAATGAAGAAACCAGAGACTAACTGACCAGATATATATATGTATATATGTATGTATGCACGTGTTTGTCAAATTTTAGTATAACCAGAGGTACATATGCGAATAAGCGACCGAACCAGTCGGAGAGCAAGTGAATGACTGATTGCCTGCATGATTAATGAATGTATCGCACAAATATACAAATGTACATTTGTATATATGCATACGGATATATATATATATATAACTTACGGATATATATATATATATATAGCCACACCGGTCGCTTGACCAAAACTAAAGGTGAAAAACTGTGAAAATTGGACATTCAGCAGCACCAAAATTGATGCCACTTCAACATCACTACCCTTTCTCATAGATACAAGTACATTTTGCCGGCCTCCCTTAGCATCGCATCGCTCTCACATTGCTGTTGCTGTTGCTGATGATGATGATGATGATGAATACATAAATGCACACGAAAATTTGCATTCGAAAGGGGAAATTGTATATGTATAGAAGTAAAAAATCGTTCGCATTTATGCATAAAAGAATGAGTTTGAAAATGCAACAGCCGTTGCAAAAAGCTAAGCTTTTGAAAAAATGCATTTGTATTGAAGGTATCACGGAAAATTTGTTGCCTACTCGAAAGGGTGCATGATGGCCTCACAAATTCATGTTCGATCGGTTGTGAAAATATGCAAATATTTTATGTGCATAAAATGGAATACTGCATTTTGAATTGGAAATGTAATCGATTACAATTTGAAATAGGCGAATAAACAGCGATTAGTCGGCACTTTGGCTGTAGGGTACTGTGGCAACTTTTGGCGTTACCTAATTTGCATAGTTGCAACAGAATAGTAAGATATGTAAAAGAGTTTTGCCAAGCACTAAATACTTTTGAATAACGAAGTGGAATATGAGTTATACTCAGTACTACTACTAGATGTCAAAGCTTCGGTTAGAATTCGAAATTCTTATCGAAATACATAGATATAGATTTCGGCATATTCGTGCATTATCGGTGGAGCCTTTAGCACTGGTATCCCGTTTGTTATCGTTGCCATTACTACAAATGTTATCATTTTCGATATATTTATAGTTTTTTTTTTTATCGTTGTTGTCGCTCTAAATTTGTATTGGTTTGGTATGTTTGAGTAATCAGGGCAAATAGGTATTGGAAACGTCATTTTAGAACTTTTTCTTGAATATCAGTGAAAATCTATTTTTGATAAAATTATATATTAAGAGCTCATAAGCACGCGACCATGCCCTAGAATTTCATCCTTTTAAGTTTATTAGCTTAAAAAAATATATGTAATTAAATTAAAGAGAATTTCCTATACCAATCCGTTTTTGTGTACTAAAAGACTAAATTTTTTAAATTCTAGGGTTTTTTTCTTTCATTTGGTATCCATATTGTTACTCTATATTGCGCTGAATTTTTTAAAATAATTTTTTTAATCAATCATAATTTTGAACTTGTTTTTCTTTTGTTAATGAAAAAGAGCTCGAGTTGGTCCCATTAAATTTTTTTTATTAGCATTACGCTCGCTGTTTTGGAATTTTGGCTTATTCTTATTTTATTTTTTTCTGCTTGCTAACTGTAGGCTATTTATAGCTGTGGTCATGGTTTTAGCGACTTTGCGATTGTGGTTCTCTTTTATTTAGCCGCTTAAGCCATTTGCTGTTGACAATTGCAAAAATAGTGAAATGTAAAAATGGCGTACTTTAATTGAAATTGATTTTTGGCTTAGTTTGCCGCAGATAAATTTACATAAAACCTAACAAAGTGTCCCATATACATATTTGTACCAAACGAGCCCATTTTTGTGCACATATGCATGTGTATGTGCAAAGTAAATACGTATATATGTAGCTACCGTGAGNGAATGTTTGAAAAGGGTTGCCACGTGCATATAAAGTGACATTCAAATTATTTAAGAGGTTGGATGAATTATTAAAAGCTGGGTATCATCGAAATGATTTTGAAAAAGCTTTATGTCTGAAATATATTTAGGAGGGTTGCCATATGTGTTTTAAAATTTATTAAGAAATCTTTAGCTTAAACACTATATATAGTTTGGGTGTTTTAAGAGTGTTCAAATATTCAAATCATTTAAAAAGTCAAATTAATGATATTAAAGTATGGGAGTCTTTCGTATTGGGGTTGAAAAGGCTTTATTTCTGAAATATATTCTGAATTCAAATTATTTAATGAGTTAATGGAATTTTTAAAGGATGGATATCAATCGAAATGGGTTTGAAAAGGCTTTCAGTTAGGTTTCGCAATTCACTTCCGAACTCAAATTAAACTTTGTAGAAGTTTACTCGAAAATAAATTGTATAACCTGCAAATAAAGGTCTTGCCTTTTGAAATTAGAAACTTTTTATCGGGTGATTAAAAATTTGGTAATAATAAAAACCTACTATGCGAAACGGCTGCACAAGTTTCGAAGAAATATTTGGAATAGTTTGAAGGTTTTTGAAATTCCATCTTGGGCGTTTTAACGCCATGCGGGCTTACTAGTTGTCATATTCCTAATGAATTTTAGATTTCTTGAAATAGGTTCATGGTTTTCATATACCGCTTTAATCTTTATTGCTATTTAAAGCCCAGAGGCAAATTTATATTTGCTGTGAGTGGCAAATATTTTATGAAGCTTTAATAATCGTGAACCACTTACCAAAGTGATGGGATGAGAATGCATTGAGAACCAGTGAATTTCCCTACGGTTGTGATATCTAGCGTAAATTTTCACATACACACATATATACTAGATATATCTTATGTATGGTGCTTGATGTGTCATTCGATAAAGCCAATTAATTGGCCTATTCAAAGTCGGCAATCTGTTAGAGAATGGAAATTTTACAATACATGTGCAATGTTGTTTCTATGGTGATTTTATTGCGAGCTCTTTTGACTGTGGCTGCTTGCTGATGACCTGATTGTGCTGAAAAAATGTGCGCTTGGATTTCGACTATTTGCGGATTAGCTACGGTGCTGCTGAAATATTAAATACAATTGGAGATTAAATATTTTTTTTCTACGAACAATACATTTCAAGAGGATTTATTTAAGATTCTCAGTAAAAAAAGAAAAAAAAAAACGTTAAATTGTTTTTAAAGCCATTTTTTATGGCCGATTTTTACAAAGAAATATGCGCAAAATGGTAAAATTTCATTCATTTGCTTCACTATACATATTTATGTACATACGTATGTAGTTAATTGTCTAGTTAATGGTTAGCCATTTCGCGATTTGATTTGTGGTCAAAATAATATTGCACCCAACAAACTAATAACCAATACGACCGATAGCTGCTGTGAAGGAAAGTGTATATCCCTAGTTCGACTTTATACAGTGGCCAGTCAGAATACAAGCCCACTTCTACGGGCGCTATTAAAGAGTCATCTCAGCCAACCACCGGGGTGATTTCCCTCTACGTTTCCGAAATTTTAGTTGACACGCGCTCCCGAAAGTCTTCTTTAATTCCGCACTAAACACAGGACAAAAGTTGTAAATATTTCTTAGTTTCCATTGGAAAATAAGTGACGTAAATTTCTACCTCAAGCACAGATTATTCCAGTAAACTCAATACACAGCCGGAAGATGAACGGAGATTCGAGGTCGAATGTTTGTATTTATTTGTGTACACAAATAGTTTGGCGTGCAATACCGAATTCAGAGAGGGTTTATAATGCAAACTTGGTTCGGTTCGGAGGCTGATTTCTTTTCAAATGCTCCGAAAAATATTAGCTTGGGGTAATGGCATAAATCATAAGTTGCCTACCTTCGACCAGAATTACAATTTAACTCCAAGCTGATGAGCAATTAGAAGAAATGATAGCACTCTCAGCTCCCGGCATTGACTTTCTTAAATGACAAATATTTCGATTACAAATTTAGTCCTTGAAAAAAAAGCCATGCCATTACTTAAAAAATATGCATTAAGTTCGTTTCCACGTAAACAAATTCAATCGCTCAACTGACGACTCATTGTAAAAATAAAATATCTGAGTAATTTGTAGTACGTGTAATTGATTAAGCCTTAAATAGTGTTCAAATAAATTTGTTTGTAGTTGGTATTAGTGTTTATTAACGAACCCTTTTTGGCTTACATCTGAGACATGAAACCCCTATTGAGCGTTAATTGGGTTAAGCAAATTACTTTGAACTGAATGTCATGGAAAGCTTTTAATTAGCTTAATTAAAGTACACCGAGTTTTGTATTGAAAAACATGCTTGAAAAAAAAAAAAATCGTACATACATACCTCAGTATGTAATCAAAAACACACATACATACATACAAACCACTGGCAAAAGCAAATATTTTTGCTGCATGTTAGTAACTAACATACTTCTGTGCTCAATCGCTTGGTCGCTCCACATTATAATAACAGAAAATTGTAGAAAAAATAAATATTTACACGCCAAATTGTTAAAAATTATGTCAAATAAAACCGTGCCGCGATTTTGTGTTGTAAGTACCAGCACACAGAAAATAATCAAAAAAAAAAAAAAAAAAAAAGTGAAAAAGTGAAGCGAAAAAACTTTTGTATGTTTTCAGCCAATTAAAAGCGGCAGCAAATTTTCCATCAATTAAACGTTGCAGCTGCCAAGGCCAATAAAAGTCGCCAAATGCAAAATAGTCAGCGACACAGACGCGGTTAAAATTGGCAGAAAAAGGCTGGCCAGCACAGTTGGTTGGTCGACAAATGTGTGTGTGTTGCGAATGCATATTCGATGGCACGTAAAATTACAGTGTGTTTCATGCGGCGACTCCCGAATCCCTTACTTACTATCTACACTTGTACAACTTGTAACTCGCCGCTCGCAGCCAATCTGCGCCAATTTCAATTACACATTCAAATGAGTTGTGCGATGCCGCCGCACTGANCAAAAAAAAAAGTGAAAAAGTGAAGCGAAAAAACTTTTGTATGTTTTCAGCCAATTAAAAGCGGCAGCAAATTTTCCATCAATTAAACGTTGCAGCTGCCAAGGCCAATAAAAGTCGCCAAATGCAAAATAGTCAGCGACACAGACGCGGTTAAAATTGGCAGAAAAAGGCTGGCCAGCACAGTTGGTTGGTCGACAAATGTGTGTGTGTTGCGAATGCATATTCGATGGCACGTAAAATTACAGTGCACTATCTACACTTGTACAACTTGTAACTCGCCGCTCGCAGCCAATCTGCGCCAATTTCAATTACACATTCAAATGAGTTGTGCGATGCCGCCGCACTGACTTTAACCAAAGTGCATTGGTGCGGCGAAAACAGGGTGAGCAGAGGTGGTAGTATCCACTAGGAGCGTGAGTAGTTGGAAGTTTCGTGATTTAAATATACAAACACACAGTGGCATTTGTGGTCTTGTGAGTGTAATTGTGTTCAGGGTCTGTAGGAAAAAAAAAAAATTATTAAATAGTAGGTGCATTAGATGCAACCGTGGCACAAAATCTTAATGTGCGGCCGTGGTTTAAACGAAGTTTAAACGCCCGATCCGGCTGGTTTAAACTAAGATCAGCCATTTAGATGTCAGCCAGTTTACTTAATCTGAGTTCAAACTAGCACTGAAAAACTCGCCCTAAGCCTCTAACTGTGCAATAATCTATTATTTCTTTAGTAGGGCTGCCACATGTTTAAAAATTATAAGATTTTTGCCGTTCGTTGTTTAAAAAATATTAGATACCAAATGAAAGGGTACACAAACAACTTTTTTTTAGGTAGGGTTGCCACTTACCTATCGAAAAAATTATAAGATCTGTTCGTTTAATTATAAAAAATTAGATGTATAATGGGCTTGGCCTCTAGATTTTTATAACGTGTTATTTTTTGAGTAGAGTTGCCACATTTTTAAAAATTATATGATCTTCACCGTTCATTGCACTTAAAAAATAGGTACCACGTGCAATAAGATTTTATATTTTGAGTAGGGTTGCCACCTATTTAGAACTTACTACCTTATATATAATACGTTAAGGCATTTTTTGTTAATTACAACAGATTTGCACAGTGCATAAATGTAAAAAAATTTGGGATCGAAATTGGGTCTTCAGATGTGCAATAAGGTTTTATTTTTTTGAAGAGAGTTTCACCTTTACGAAAAATTATACGATGTCAGCTGTTCATTGGACTAAAAAGTAGGTCGTGAAATGAAAGGTCTTCAGATGTGCAACAAGGTTTTATTTTTTGGAATAAGGTTGCCGTCTGTCTAAAAAATTAAAAGGTCCATTCTTTGCATTAAAACATAGTATATACATTTTATGTTGTTACTAATAATCGTTACGTTATACCAAGATTCACAAAACTGATAACGATAGTAACCAGTGCTTTTTGCTTTTTTCATTTTCGTGATTCTTCGTGTTATATTTTTCGTTTATTTCGGTACTTGGTAGAGATTTTTCTCGGTATTACTCGGGACCTACTTGGGATTATTTTGGTATTTTCTGAGTTGTTTGAGACTTTTTCGAGATTTGTGGAAATTCTCAGCACTATTTTTGTATATGGTTTTTAATGAAACCATAATACTACTTATACCCGGTATTGATAATTACTTAAATATTTTTGTACTTGTATTTTCAAAATATTCCATTAAGATCATCATAGGGTTCCACACGTACATATATATACTTACAATTGGAAGTAGTTTGCCAGAAGCGCTAACAAGGACCTTAAAAATTTTTGCTGCTAATTCCTTTGTTTTACTACTTTTTTTAAAATTGCAAAAATTGTAGTGCTAAAACGAAAATATTTTGGTATCGTATCAAATATCGAAATCTCAGAAGAAAAGTTGAAAAAATCCGTTTTATCCGTTTTATGTATAAAGTGTACTACATATAGATATGCATGACAGTGTCAATCCTTTTAGACTCCGTTCGGATATAAAAAATTATAGACACCACCATTTGAAATCCATTTAAAGAAGCTTACTTTAGGGCAATCGGTTTACCGACAGGGTAATTGAATGTTTGTATATACATACATATGTGCATTACAGGCTACTGGCTACTCGCAACTGGCGACAGCAGAATGTTACATTTTATGTCATTTTCAATTTCATCGTTCATAAAGCGCATAAAATACTAACTATGTGTTGCACTGGTGAAAAATGAAATGGCGGCAAAAATCTCTAAACGGAGGTTGATAAAGTCGAGCTAAAATATTTATTGTTAATTTTTTTTGTGTTTAAGTGCTTTACAATAATTGGCAGTGGTGGTTTAATTGCGACAATATTCAAATTTTTATAACGGCAATTATAATGCTTTGAATAGTCTTTAATAGGAAAAATGGTGTGTTTAATTGTTCCTTCCTACTGTTTTTTACAGCTTTTACTTACCTGAAAAACTCTTGTCCGTCTTTGTACCATTTAACTGAATTGAGTGTGCGATTACCCATTTCATAACTGCAAAATAATTTGGCTCTTTGTGCGGCATCGATTATTCGCGGGACGGAGAGGTTTGAGAGGTAGAGCGCCTGATTCATGTGTATGTCTGAAAAAAAAGTTGGATAAGGTTAAATGAGAACAGGTATTTGGAGAGAACTTATTATAAATTTTTAGCGTTTGCATATTTTTGCATATGTATGTATGTATGTATAGGTGTAGGTGGTATTAGCGATGAAAAGTTTTTGTTTTTTAAGAAATTGAGATTAACTTGCCACTTAAACTAAATAGCTATATATGTATGCAATTTTGATTGAGTTTCAAGCGCATTCAACGAACAAAAATTAAAACTTAAAATTTTAAAGGATTATTTTTCATATAAATTGTGTTCGTAAAAGTGGTTGTTAAATTAATTGTTGAAAATGTATGTTTAATTCACAAAGCAATTAATTACACAACCTCCTCTTTTCACTTTAGTATTTTAAAATTAATATCATATGTATTAGGGCATGTAAATTTTTTCTTGACCAAGCGCGTATAGCATAGGAGGATTCTACGTATATTTCGAAGGAAATTTGCTGAAGAAACTATTAGTTTTAAATCAATTTGGAGATTGCCAAATTGCGAAAGTAGGTTTCTTTTAATTAGCATTTTGCTGTAGTGGTGTAAAGAAGTGCTTAAATTTTGTCTAAAAGCATGCTGTAAAAGGTATGGTTGGTATGAGGAATCTATTTCTGAACTTTTCTTTTTGCTAACACATCTGCCAGTGGGCGCAACAGTGATAATTTTCACATTTTCTTACGTGCTAAAATAAAAAAAAAACCTTTATTTTACTTATCCTTGAAAATTTTTTTTTTACATACAACTAAAATTGAGTATAAAATACATGCATACATACGTACATTAGATTGCATCATAAAAAAGTTGCGGTTTTTCTGCCGGGATTACAAAACCTATTATGTGTGAAAACGTCCACCAAAATATTTCGGAAAAATATTATGATTTACTTGAGCTGGAACAATTTGAAAATGCCTCCAAAAATGTATTTTTTTTGTGCTTCTTAAAGGACTTTTTGAAAAAAAAAAAAATCACCTCAGATATAAAACAGTTTAAGCTTAAAAAATCTACATTAAAATTTTTAAAAGTCTTTTCAACGGAGTCGTAATAATGAGATTTTTGATGCTGTTTTTTTTTGAACTTTTTTCAAAGATTGGTTTAAGAAAAACTTGAATAACTGGGCCAAAGCTATTCCGAGTTGGATTTATGTGGTATCAGTTGAAAGGCGTTTTACCAGTCTTTTTATTTAATACTCATTTAAGCCATTCTTTACGATACTGCAGCAAAAAAAGAAACCTATTTGCGCAATTTAGCAAACTCCAATTGATTTCGAGAAAATCTCCCATACAAATTGACCTGCCCTAATATATACATGAGTGTATTTAAATAACAAAAGCAAGTACTTGGTTTCACTAACAGCCTTATAATTTACCAGCACAAAATGAGTTCATAAATTCACTTGACCAAACACACAAAGATGTGCATTGTACATATATATGTATGTACATTAGGGTGGCCCAAAAATGCATGTAAAAAAATAGTAAAGTCGCAATTTTTATGCTCTCGCCCCTAGGATTATTCTATATCAAAAAAATATACCCCTATTTCTTTATTTTGAAATCAAAAAATATTTGGAAGTCGCTCGAAGCGCTCAAAGTTTTACATGTGCATTTTACATAGGGAAAAAACAACTTTTATATAAAAATGGTATAGAATTCAGGAGATTCCCAGTAATAATACTAAATTATTTTTTTTTAATTTTTTCATAGCAACTATATTTTTTAGTTCCGCCAAATCCCCTAGAAAATGTCAGAAAATGCAATGAGGGGGGGGGTAAATAAAAAAATCTTTAGTATTAAAAAATGGTTGAATAAACAATTGGGTATTGTTATTGGAAGTCTCCTGAAGAGAACCAGAGTTTTCCGATCGAAAAGTATTGATTTTCAAGAATTAAATACCATTTCTACGAAAATTTATTTTGTTCCTATTCCAAAAAAAAAAAAACATAGGGTTATCCTTTTTTTCGATATAAACAATCCTAGGGGTGATAGCATTAAAATTCCGACTTTACTTATTTTGGACCACCTTAATGTACATATGCAAGTGCAAGTAAGTAAGAAATTTTATTTGTTATGCTGTGGTGGTTTCACCATAGCTATTAATTCACTTTCAGCTCGGCTCAGTATGGTAAGCTAATAAAAATTAATTTAAACGCAAAACAAGCGAAGATTTTATTGCAATGCTTTCCACTTGGTCGGCTGTGCGATTAAAAATCAAATATGAGATTATCCACCTGCAGCATTGCTTTGTGGTCAAACCGAGTGTATTTACTTATGTTAAATTTTTAGTGCCTTATTGCATCAGTCTCAATTTAACTTTGTTGAGAAGTATGTTCTTCGTTACTTGCTGAACGCTCAACCGCTAATTAGTTTTAGAAACATTTTTACAGCCGTAAGTGCATTCTCTGCGGATTTGTCACTATGCATATTAAGCAACACTAAATCTAAATAATGCGTATTTACTATCCTTTCCTTAAGTAGAACTCATTACCAAGTGTTTTAGGTGTTCAGCGTTTTTCCGATTTTCAGTCGCCTTATTCAGTTAAAAGGTTTCATAGTAATAAATTGAGTTCTGAAAAACTTTGTGCTCTGCTTCGATTCTTAGTATTTTTCGAAAGGTAGTCTGTGAATTTCATAGAACATTTTTAACAAAACGATACTGATTTAAGTCAATAATCTACAGGTAGAAGGATTTAAACATGGTAAGTTTTTTCAAATTTTTGCAAGTACTGATGTCTGAGATTACGACATGATTTAACTAACTCTACTGGTCCACAATTTTAGTTTTTTAGAGGTGGCATGCGTTGCCTTACCGGATTGAGCCCAAATTTTGTACACCACATATTTCGTGTAACCGAAAAAATCACTTGTTTCGTGCTGGTAGTGAAATTTTCTGGTCTGCCTAATACAGTTCATTGTACGAGTATACATTTTTTTTTACCCAGTAGGAATATTGATTACTTGATTGTGAGCTTTATGATACTGGAGAGAAATTCTCTACTATTAGATTGTCATTCCCAACGTAAGAAAAGGGATGGTATGCAGTCGAAAGTTTGATGCCAAATTATTTTGCACACCGAATTAATATATTTCCAGGTAAGCAAAAAGGTAATGTGTTGTAAAAAAATAAGTATGAAAAAAGTCCTCAGCTTGTCAGCAAAAAGTTATGTAAGAAAAAATGTTATTAGACCATGGAATTCGTTTGATTGAATACACAAAGCAAGTATTCAGTGGGTTTGAATGGTAAATACAATAATACATTTGTATGTATGTATGTATGAGCTCATTACATTACATTTATCCAAACATTACATTTTCCCGCTGGGAAGTTAATATGTGGTCGTGTGTTTGATGGCAGGCGCAATAGAATGTTATAGTTGCAAATAATTGGCTTGTACATTTGCTGTTACTATTAACTACCCGTTACAATGGTAGTCAGCTGCAGAGATTTATGAACTTGTTGGTTGTGTTTAATTCTTTGTGTACGCTGCGCATTAGTAACATTTTTCGCGCACATATTTACACAAGCACATACATATGTATGTATGTCTTTATGAATGCACCCTGCAGGAAATGGGACTAGTTTGTAGCTAACTATTAACTAACTATTTCTTTTGGCCATAACTAACTACATTTGAAGGGCGATGGCCGCAAAATAGTGATCACTGGTTTCCTCTGCATTTGATGTCAACTGAATTTGATCTACTTTTGGACAAAAACATTTAATAAAAATATATTTAAAATTTTTTTTTTGTTTATTATTTTATATTTATTTATTTTATATAACACTACCTAATTGCTTATTTGCAATAAATGTTTTGTCCTTTTACAGGTGGTTTCACATTTGAATTCCATTAGACATAACATCAAAATAATATCGAAAGTAAAATGTTGATCTTTATTTTATTTGACCTGAATTCGAAAAAGAATCAGCGAAGTGCAGAAAAAGAGGGGAACTTGTAAAGACAACAAACTTTCGATAACATCTAGATGTAAGAATTTTTTCCTTTTGGTTTTGTTTTTAACAAAATTTGAGATGTTAAATAAAACAGTAATAACATGCTGCCTTAATACAAAATTCAGCTGCCGTCACTGGAAATTAAATGTATTTTCAACACGCTTTTATTAGCTTCCAACATACATCGTATGGAAGAAAATGACTGGCCGTTAATTTTCAAACTTGCACTTTATTATACTAAAATTGCATACTAATTTTTTTTTCTAAGATATCTAATAAAAAGCTCGAAAAGCTTATTGCATTTTTTTTAATATTGCTTAAAGTTTGAAGCTTGTATTTATTTGGTCTTTATTAAAAATAAACTATGTTTTATGAAAAAAATAAATAAAATTACATAACAAAAAGATAATTTGTTAAAACTTGTCAATGTTTGGTGCGCTTTTAATTATGACACGGGGCGTATTTTTAGTTTTAATGATTTTAAAAATGTTTGATGTTATCACGAATTTATTTCGAATTACAAAATTTTCTGATAATAACTAGGTTTTGGATTGCGGAAACGCTGTACAATTTTCGCATGACCGAACGCCATATTGGATCTGCCGTTTTGAATTTTGCAGCGGACTCACAATTAGCGACCCCGAAAACCCGCTAGTATAAAATTGCGAATCATTTATTTTAAGCTTTTGACCGCACTTTTGGATTTCGGACGAACTGCGGAGCGGTATCTCGAAGCTTTTCTTAGTTTAAGGAGATACCCTGGGAAAATTTTCTAATTATCTTTTCGCGCACAATTTTCAAAGCGAAAATAAAAAAAAAGCAAATTAACAACGGACGTTTTTTTTTTTCTTTTTTTTTTACAATTTTTGAAGGTGATTGATTGCAAACATTTCGCTGAAATTTCGAATCATATAACAGACGTGCAACTTGCAGACGTTATTGCTAAGTTAGACACGGCAGAGAAAAAGATTGATGGCAACATAATGTTCGGCGAATATCATCGACGTATTTGCAAAGCAATACTTAATTCACCTG